CCATTCTGGGTCTTCAGAGATACGGCAGGGGTTACATCGCACGGAAAAAGGCAGAGGCAATGAGGAGGGAGAGAGCGGCAGTGAAGATCCAGGCGCGTGTCAAGGGCTGGCTGCAGAGGCGATGGTACTTGCAGGTGAAACGGACGATTCTTGGTCTGCAGACGCGCGGCAAGGGCAACATGGCTCGCGCCAGTACACTCTCGGTGGGTTGTCTCTTTTTTTAGAGAGGCGGCGATCGAATAAAAACCGACGATTTCTAGTCGGATTTGAACTCGGGTCTTCGGCTCACTAGAGCAGCGCTTTACTTTCTGCGCCACGATCGCTACAGAAGCTTAAATTATACATTTTATATGCAAAGCACTGAGTAGATCGACCGATCACGCTTTGTTCGCGTGATCCATAATATTTGGGATGTAGACGGACATGCTCCGGTAACGTGCGTGCGAAGTCGGGGTAACCGTCGTAATGTACGCGGAGTCAGTTGTTGGTCGGCCGCCGGAAAGACGAGTTTGTAAGCCAAATAAAGTTACCGATTATCTTAATCTAAATTGCGTGAGTCATCATTTCCGTCCCATTCTCGCGAATCCATAGAATTGACGCTATACATATAGAAACGTACGAATTTTTTTTTTAGGCGAAAGGCAGCCAACTCATGAAGAACGTTCAAAACGAGATGATAGATTTGATGTGCGAGCTAGAAAGCCTGAAATCCGCTGTCGACGCTGAGAATAAGAAATTAAACTGAGTGGTGCAAGACAAAGAGAGGGAGTTGAAAAAGATGGAGGAAACTCTACAGCGGGAGAAGGACGAGAAGATGGATATATTGCACGATAAAGAAAGAAGTGCTCTGCAGAAGGACGCGGAGAATAGGAAGCTGCAGGAGGAGATTGAAAGATTACGGAAAGAACTCTCGATAGCAACCGAGAAATTGAAGAGCAACCAGCGCGGTGCTGAGGAGAATCTAAAGTATCGACTCGAGCAGGAGAAAGATCTGTTCCTGCTGGAGCAGGACCAGGACCAGGATGTCGTGTGCAATAAAGGTATTAATAATAATAATTAATAATCTTCTAATGCTATCAAAGACGAATGCGAGGAACGCTTTTCTTATGTAAATGCCGGTGAGTGCGTGGTCTTGAGATGTTAACATAATCATCATCTCATTGAATTGTCCGAATAATTTGTAAGACAGTAAGATCTTCGGTAGATCAAATGAAGAAATAGAAATCCTGGCTGAGGTATTTAAATTAATTTAAAATATGAAATATTTAGACATTGAACACTCTGTCACGGTTCTTAGTCCTTTATTTCTTCAAACTTATGTTTATCACATTTGAGCCATGTGAATTTTATGAAGAAATAGAAGCTAAGTTAAAAATACAAGTTTTGATGAAACTTAACGAGAATTACATACAAACTGTTCAGTCAGTTCGATCACGCATACCATCATTCATTGTCGCCTGCATATTGTGTCGAGTACGGTTTCCTGAAAATTTCGAGGAATACAAGAATTAATGGAAAAATTTCAACTACTTGCAGTACCCAACGCGGTGGAATACGCGAATGGCTGCGTCGCTCTTTCCGGGACTCATGGAGACGGAAGTAACATGCCTATCATTCGCAAAAAGGAGAGGGATTACGAAGAAATGTTCGAATTCAGGAAGGAGGATATCAACGTCATCATACGCCACATGGTCATCGGTGTCGCCTCTCGTATCGATCAACCTGTTGACAATTATTCATCAATTCTAAACACTTTCTAACTTGTAAAATTCATTCCGCGAGGGATACAATTAAAATTTCTATTATTCGACTTTCGTTATATCTTTCTACTGCCAGTATATGCATACGACCTAGTTTATCCGATATTTCTGCTTTTTTTTTAGAGCTGAAGCCCCAAATAGCGGTGACGCTATTACCAGGCTTACCGGCCTACATTCTCTTCATGTGCACCAGACATGCCGATTGCATCAACGATGACGAGAAGGCACAGTCGCTGTTGATCGAGTACCTGAATGCCGTTGAACACGTGCTGAAGAAACGCGACGACTTCGACTCCAGAGTGCTTTGGCTCAGCAACACCCTGCGTTTGTTGCACAACATGAAACAATACTCCGGCGACAAGATCGAGAACACGCCCAGGCAGAACGAGCAGCGCTTGAGGAACTTCGACCTGAGCGAATTTCATATTGTACTGAGTAACACGGCTCTCTGGATCTTCAACGATCTCATCACGAATCTCAAGGAGAGGATTCGAGCCCTCACAGTACCAGCCTTGCTGGAGCACGAGGCGATATCCGGTCCGACCGACAAGGCCGGGCGACCCAGGTCGTCGTTTATGGGCGGCGAGCCGGATTCCACGCAGCAGAAGCTGCGCAAGGTGTTCAGTGCGCTTCTGGGCGAGCTGACATCGGTGCACACGACGCTACAGTATCATGGCGTGGATCACGAGGTTGTGGTGCACCTGTTTAAGCAATTGTTTTACTTCATATGCGCCAGCGCACTGAACAACCTACTGCTGAGGAGCGAACTCTGCCGATGGAGCAAGGGTATACAGATAAGGTAAGAAATCGCGGTGTTAATACTCGATTTTGTTGTTACTTACTAACAATATATCCGTACAATTATTTTATAGAAAATATAAAAGAGAAACGATAGAAAAACTTTTACCTCCTTCTTCAATTTCTAATCTTCATTTCTAAATCAGGGCTCGATCTTTATTTATTTGTGTAATAACATTGAATATTTAAACTTTGTAGAAATTATACAGTGTTCCGTCTGCTATTTAAGGTATAACATTACCCATTTGGAGCAGTGGGGCAGGCACCGACGGCTAGAAACCGCGTTAGAAGCGCTGCAGCCCATCATACAGGCGTTGCAGCTTCTGGAAGCACGGAAAACGGACGAGGACGTTAATTATGTCTGCAAGATGAGTTATAAACTGACGGCCAATCAAATAGTGAAAATTCTAAATCTGTACACGCCCGTCTACGATTACGAGAGTCGAATTCCGGTTTCGTTTATCAAGAAAGTACAAGACAAGCTGAAGGAGCGCGGCGAGAACAACGAACAAGTAAGTACCTTCCAGTCGATTAGGAATCAATTCTTCGACAAAATGAGCGTCTCAAAGACACTCTTAAGATTTGCTTTATAACAACGTTCTTTTTCTTCTACTTTCAGCTGCTAATGGCTCTAGAGTATTCCTATCCCGTAAGATTCTCATTCAATCCGTCAGATATTCGACTTGAAGATATCAAGGTACCGGAGGTGCTTCAATTACCCATGCTCAAGAAGGTGTAACGCAGACCAGGCACGATCCTGGTCAAGATCCCCGCTCCACTGTACTGTACTGTGTGTCTTTAGTTGAGAACGTTGTACGCGAATAACCGAAACACGCTTAGTCCATTTGTTCGTACAGGAAGTTTGTGATACCGGTAATCCGGCTACGTTTAGACGTAGACGTATCGAGAGCGGCCCATCGATATCACGTTTTATATATTTCTTTTTTACTCGGGTAATTTGTAGATTTTACGATATGTCGTATTCCTAATCGCTAATTCGAAGTCAATTTCCGTTGCGTAGGTAGACGATTAGGTCTCGGTAAGCGAGAGAAAGAGCGATATTTTCGATTATTGTTACTGTATAGCGTTGTACGTCGAGTTGTGAAGGAGGCACGAGTACGAAGCTCCTACAAGGATTTTTTTAATTTATAACTCTTTTATTACTACATATTATTTATGTTAAAGATGATTAATAGTCTCAGAGACACAGATCTCGTGTGAATCCGTTCTTCCTTCAAGTGCGTTAATGAAAATTACATTATTGTATATTATTGACACAGTTGTCAGTCTTTCCAATTCTAACGTAGACAGCAAAAACACTTCTAATAAATTTAGCTTGTAAAATTTGTATTAAATCATATTGTATTTTTTCAAGCTTCAAATTTTTTAATTTCAAATTTTGAATTTCTTACAGTTCATTATTTCTAAGATTAATAAACTGGATCGAGAATAAGGAGTAAAAAATATGACTTTAGTTGCTAGTACATTATATTCTTTTATTAAATGTTTCTTGTTGTATACTCGTGTGTTTAAATATTTATATGATGTAAATTCATTGAAGTATATTGGAGGAAAATTTTTTGTTACATAATCCTGGCTAAAATATCACATAGATTTATACATACAAGACGTTAAATATATAAATTAGCAGTAAAATGTTTTAAAATAAGATATAATAGCAAATTCCTATAATACGTTGATCTTTAAAAACGTTCTATATTTTGTTGACATTTATTTCTTCTGAAAAAAGCTAGTAATGCTTTTAGATCCCGCCGCTGCTCTCTGTTTAGCCAATTCCTTTTTACCAGGAGCAGCGCTTTTCTGTAAAAAAATAAAAAATAGATAGTTGAATTAAATTCGTTTCAAAAACATGTGCACTGTTTTGAAAATTCTTTATAGACTTCATGAATATTTCTTCCATATCTGTGATCTTAAAGAAACAAATCAAATACAATCTTGCAACATTACTATAGTATGAAACAGCAGTAAATTTTTTAACAGATAAAAATTACTGATGTTATATTCATTTGTGATTATACATTGATATTTATATAATTTATTGCAATGATTACAATTACTATTTTTTATTAATAATTGACCTTTTCAAGTTTACTCAAGTCTTTTGCCTGCTTCTTTACATTCAAAGCTGGGCTCTCTTCCACGGAATCTCTTTTAAGTTTTTTCTCTTCGGCTTCACTTTGAGGACTAGTCAGCTTGCGCTTTTTACTCTCCATTTCGTCGGGTATATTTAAATGCTGTGCCAGCTTCTTTGAGAGATCTTCAGCAAGGTACTCTGACACAACACCATGTGCATACTTTAAGTATTCTATAAGAAAATTTTCGATAAGTGCTTTGTCAATAAATTGATCTTGCTTGTAGATGGCGGCCTACAAAAATTGGTTTAAGATCTCATTAGATCTCGCTTCAACTGTAAGATATCGAGAAATGTTCAAATGTTCGATCTTATCCAACGTTTTCGTTACGTATACAGTATCATAATCGCGATATTACATCATTTTTCTTACCTGCTTCCGTACCAATTTCACATTTGGTACTCTTGACATAAGTCGCACTCGTAGCACCTTGGGACACGTGAACTCCTTTCTCCTTTAACACATGCGCCACCTTCTCCACCTTCTTTCGCAACCAATTTAATGACTTCTCCTCATTGAACTTGAACGCTTGGAGCGACTCGTCCCCCTTACGATCGGCGACCAGCGACAGGTTCAAGTTTTCACATTGCACGAGACGAGACGTCTCTGGGAAGTCTTCGTCCCAGAGACACTGTTCCACAGGTTGCGCTAATTGCGACTGTAAAAAAAAGGACATTTGTTTTCCAAGGACTGCATCTCAAAACTGTCCGCAGAGGTGAAAGGTGAGATTCTACAATTACCTTTCTCAAGTACGGTAAAGCTAAGAAGATCGGATCGATCGGCGTCGACAGGTACAACTTGCCGTCGGATTTGACATTATTATCGATGAACCATGATCTCCTCTTTTCGTCGAAGATTAAAACCTCCCGCACCGTGAGATTTCCAGGGCTGAAGACGAATACAGCAGATTTATCGGAGGCCGGATGTCTGAGCTTGACGATCTCCGGTTGACACCCGTTGGCGCCGTCCAGAGTATCCTCTGAAATAGATTTTTACGGGTATGCAATTTGGAGGTCGTTCCTCGCGAGGAGTGCACAGCGATCGATCGACGCGGGGATCGGCCGACGGTGGAAAGGAGACCGTGGGAATTGTCAGTCACGGCGAACGGCAGTAAATTATCCTCGCGCTCACCCTTCATGAGGAACACCCACGTGCTAGCCGATGGATGACAGCTCGCCACCTGGACTAGCTTCTGCGGCAAACTCTTGGCGCGCGGCATTTTCCAGCGTGCCGTCGCGGGTTATCGTACCAGCTGGACGCCAGAAGTGTCAGAACGCTCGACCATTCGCGCGCTCACATATTGACGCGACATGAAAGTCCGCCATTTTCAGCTTGGTAAAAAGAGGGACCTTTAAACTCTCTTCAGGGCTGCGTTCGGAAACATCGTCCGAGTGCCCTAGCGTTATCATTAATAAATTAAAGTAAAGCTCGGTTTCACCAACGTCGCTTAACTTTACGCTTAGTTTAATTCGTTCTCTGTCTCTTTCCAACTGTTACTCTAGAAAGAGACATGAATTAAACTAAGGTCGGTATTCATATTCAAGACCGTCTTAAAGCCTCCGCTACAATGATTCTGTCTACAATGGTCGTAGTCGTAAGAATAATCGACTGCGATTGGTCAATTCTTATGCGTCTGACTGAATTGACCAATCGCAGTCGATTATTCTTACGACTACGACCATTGTAGACAGAATCATTGTAGCGGAGGCTTTAGGCTGGGTCTACATAGGATGTAGTAAGTCGTGTCGGAAGAAAATGACCAATCGCAGTTCATTATTCTTCGACCGTAAGGAGAATAATGAACTGTGATTGGTCAATTTCTTCCGACACGACTTACTACATTCTATGTAGACCCAGCCTTACGATCGAAGAATAATGAACTGTGAGGCTGGGTCTACATAGGATGTAGTAAGTCGTGTCGGAAGAAATTGACCAATCACAGTCTATTATTCTCCTTACGATCGAAGAATAATGAACTGTGATTGGTCAATTTCTTCCGACACGACTTACGACGTCCAATGTAGACCCAGCCTGATTGATCAATTTCTTCCGACACGACTTACGACATACAATGTAAACCCAGCCTTAAGCCTCCGCTACAATGATTCTCGGTTCTGTCTACAATGGTCGTAGTCGTAAGAATAATCGACTGCGATTGGTCAATTCTTATGCGTCTGACTGAATTGACCAATCGCAGTCGATTATTCTTACGACTACGATCATTGTAGACAGAACCGAGAATCATTGTAGCGGAGGCTTTCGTCTCGTCTACATAGAAGTCGTAAAGTCGTAGTCGTAAGAATAGTCGACTATGATTGGTCAATTCTTATGTGTCTGACGAAATTGACCAATCGCAGTCGATTATTCTGCGACATTTTCAGTCAGACGCATAAGAATTGACCAATCGCAGTCGATTATTCTTACGACTACGACCATTGTAGACAGAACCGAGAATCATTGTAGCGGAGGCTTTAATATTGAGGCTTTGAAGCTTTGTAGCTCCTAAACTACTGCTTTTAAGAGGTTATGCCCATTTACACTGTTTATCAGGAAAGTGTGGGCAATAACATATTTTAATTTCGGTGAAATCTAACTGCAAGCCATTTTTCATATAAAATATGCGGAGTCCTTTAATACCGGCCTTAAATTTGGGATTGGGAACGCAACTAGAAAAGAACGTGTTGCACATCTTTTATTCGATTGAGCATTGCTCGATCGTGTTGCTGACGTAGACGCAAAGTGCCGTGGAGTGCCGGTTGTAAACTGCAGTTAACCTAAATGAGCGTTCGTGTAGTAATAGTTAATACGCAATTTTTTCACTGTGAGTGAGAAATAAGGGACAATTGTGCAATCGTTCCTTATGATCTTTCCCAAATTTCTCAGCGACAATGGGTAAGTGTCGGCACTTTGAAAATTGTATGCTCAAACTTGTCGACTATCGTGCGGAAAAAATTTGACACGCGAGCTCCTCCGCGGAGCAGGCGAGCCCTGGAATTATTATTTTTGCGAGGCGCCGTCAGCAGTCGAGTGATACTCAGCCTCGTCACGACCTTACAGTTCTTTTCCCATGTCTCTCGACGAATCCATCTAACGTGATACGTTTATGTTGCAGCTGTTAGCAGCGGAGTGTCATTCGTGCTTTCGTCAATACTGATGGTGTTGCTGTTCTCCGGCATGCAGATGTACAAAGTCTGGCTGAGCTCGTCGCAGCTGGGAACGATTCTAGGAGGATGGGTCGGATCCCTGCTGTTCATTTGTACGCTGACCGCAGTGGGAAACCTCGAGAGTACCTTATTTGGAAAGTCATTTCAACAGAAATTACTTCCAGAAGGTATGCGTACAAGTAGCATCGCTGGAGGAATCTCTCGAAGGTCAAACCGATCAGATTTGCATAATTTTAATACCGACACACGCAATCAGTGATTTCACTAATGTTCTCCACTCTTTATTTCTCGCAGTCGATTTGGCTTTTGAGAGGTCCGCCCATCACGATCAAGTTTTACTCGGTGTAAAGCGAATTATTTAAGCGGATCGTACACGAAGACAAGTAATGTTGAAGCGGCATGTGCAAGCAAACTAATATAATAACGTTCGTTTTGTTACAGTGGTCTTCTCGTTGACTCTAAGTCTAATCGCTTCTGCCCTGATCCATCGCGTGTCCACCACGACGTGTTTGATATTCTCTTTGGTTGCGTTGTATTATATGAACAGAATTTCTCAAGAAACGTATGGCGTGTCAGTACAGACTACAGTGTTGCAATCCAAGAAACGCAAGTGAACAGGCACGAGGATGTTTGCGTTTCATATCTTTTTACTATCATGTGTATCATAGTATCATATGTTCCATGCAAAGCTTCCAATTTGTAATACAATGCCAATTGTAAATTGTTGGATGTTACTTTCTCCGAGGTAAAGCGTGGTTTGGGATTTCTACTAAACTTTAATCGTGAGTCACGCCGCTGTCGACTTGCATTCGTGCGTACATGCATAAATGTGAAAGAATTTACCCTTTTGTGATATGATGGGAAAAGGATCAAGAAAGGAAACTAATGAAGTAAGTTCGGCGTAACTATAAATGTTTTATGATCGTATATCATGATATTTACATCGCGAAATTTAATTAAATAACATGTGAAAAATAGGAAAATATTTTTTTATTGCGGTTATAAACGTTTATATTCGGGGTTTTTGTTTTTCCGGTTTCCTGTGCTTCTCTGCCTCCTCCTTGTCGCTGAAATACTCGTACGCCTCGTCAGAATCCTCCATCTGAACTGAAGCGTTCGACTGATTGCTCGTTACTTGTTTCGGCTCACTATTGTTGCTGCGTTCCGGCATTACTTGTTTGTAAATTGCCATCGCCTGTGAAGAACGCAGAGAAACACTTGGATGATACCATCGGCACAATTTTAATGGATAATCGTGAAACAGTGCGAGCGACAAACCTGCGCTACGAACGTCGAAACGTCTCCTACGTTACTTGGCAATATCAATGTATTGTTAACTTTTGCTAACTTGTCGAACGCATTGACGTATTGTTCCGCTACGCTGAGCGCCGCCGCGTTCTTCGCATCCGTCGCGCCAAGGACATTTGCAACCACCTGTAATCCCTTGGCTCGTGCCTCCGCCACTGCCACTACCGCCGCGGCTTCTCCAGTAGCTTTATTTATCAGTTCCTGCCTTACTGCTTCTACGGTACGATAATCAACTTTGTCATTACAAAACCTGATTTTCTCCCTAGTCGTGCGTTCGCATGTGCGATAATTAAAATTGCTCTTTCGGATAAATTACAAGAAGCAGCGTAGCTGCCTGAAATTCACTGATTAGAAGTTACACTCGACGCGTAGAATGAACCGAGAGTTAAGCGCGACGTGCGAGCACAAGCTCTGAAGCAAGAGAGAAACGCAGTAGGATTTCTCTCTCTCTCTCTCTCGCTATCTTTTAACAGTTAACAAGACGGTCCTATATTGAAGAGAGACAGATATATCCTATTGTGTTTCTTTCTCGCTTCAGAGCGTGTGCTGGCACATCGCGCGCAACGCTCAGTCCATTCTATATGTCGATGGTTATACCGAATACGAATAGTAGCAGCACCTGAGGCTAAAATTCGCGCGAGTCGCTTGCCCTCAGCCACATTTATCTCGGCCTCTTTAACACCCTCAGACTCCAATATAGCGGCACGTTTCTTTCGTTCGGCCTCGACCTGCATCTGCATCGCTTCCTGCACCCTCGACGGCAACTTTATATCCCCTAGCGTACAAATACAAGTACTTGGGTAGAAATTGTTCTGGCATCGATCACGCGCAGCGTACGACACTTGCTATCATACATTACTACTTTCGTAACTTACTTATCTCGTACCGCAGGCACGTTATGCCCCACGCGCTACTGGCCTTATTGATACTCTCGACAATGGAGACATTCAATTCTTCCCTTTCCCTAAATACTTTGTCTAAAGATATCTTTCCTAACTCGGATCTCATGGTGGTTTGGGCTACTTGGATTACGGCAAACTCGGCGTCCTCAACGCCGTAGGACGCTAGATAAGGATCGGTTACTCTCAAATACAGTACCCCATCGATGCTCAGAGTCACGTTGTCTGAAAGAAAATTGGAAAGCGATCAGATTACCGTGCGTCACGCGCATACGCAATACTCGGAAAGCTTGCATCAGACTGTGATACCCACCTGACGTAACTGCGCTCTGTTGCGGCACATCTATCGCCATCTCCTTCAAAACTTGCACGTACTTGACTTTGTCGATGATGGGAAGCAAAATGTTCAGACCTGGGTCTAAAATTTTATGGAACTTTCCCATTCGTTCTACGATCCATGCCTAAGCAAAACGCTTTCTTATAGGCTAGCGACTGACAAGCTTTAATTTTGTTTCGCGTAGTCTTACTTCGAACAATCTAACGGGTACGCAAAGTCGAATTGTGAGGGAGATTCGTTCGCCAGTTATACATACGAATAAATCTGCAATAACTTGGCGTACGTGACTAACGTGCCGTACATTAAACGTGGTGACGAACCTGTTGTTGCGGAACGAACATTATGATAGTGTTTATCGGGGTTAGCGGTTTGTACCGCGAATTCTGGACCGCCGTGCTGAACGCTTTACTCGCTACGCCCGCAAACGTGTGATCCTGCAACGTAAAACGCTCCGTGAGACTTTCCGCGGATTCAAAATCCCAGGTCGGAGTCGGAGCCGCAGGGGAAATTTCACCTTGACGAGTCCCAAGTTCCTGGCCAGTATCACGGCAGTGCCGGTTACCGCGCGTTTGTACATCTTTTTATCACACTGGCTACGAGAATGTACGAGGAATACGGATGTAGACTGACAGAGTACGCCTCTTCGTAGGTTAGACGGCAGGAATAATGCAATACTCTTTGGAAGACGACCCGGCGTCGTCTAGCATGGAGCAGCCGACACGACAGAAACGAAACTCAGAGACGCGCCTGTGCTTTAATAGCGCGTTCGAAAATACACCTGGCTGTCGCCAGTATACTTTCTCGTGCACGGCATAGCATGGCCGATATTCATAGTCGAAATTCTTATTTCAAAACCATCTCAAGTGTTGTCTGCAGCCTGAGGCCCGATTCTCGAAATCATTCGAAGAAGAAACGTATACGAACATTCTGCTCTGACAGAAAAGTTGAAAGTCGATTGGTTAAAGCTATGCGAATAGCCAATCAACTTGCAAATTTTCTGTAAGAGCAGAATTTTCGTATATGTTTCTCCTTCGAATAAATTCAAGAATCGAGCCCCTGGGCTGCTTTCGCGAGAAGATCAAAATGATCCGGATTAAAATGACCCTGTGCTATGATTGGTCAAATCTGAAATTTCGTAGCATCACATTGACATTTTATTCAATGAAATTCCAAATTTGATCAATCATAGCACAGGGTCATTTTAATCCGGATCATTTCGATCTTCTCGCGAAAGCAGTTCTCGTCTACATAGAAGTCGTAAAGTCGTAGTCGTAAGAATAGTCGACTATGATTGGTCAATTCTTATGTGTCTGACTGAATTGACCAATCGCAGTCGATTATTCTTAAGCCCGTATCAGACTACGGATTGGGATTGGGATTAGATTGAAATTTAACCAATCACAGTAAAGTTTACTAATCTCAAGTTCAATAACTTTTACTCCAGATATATGGTCAAATTTCAATCCAATCTCAATCTCAATCCGTAGTCTGATACGGGCTTTACGACTGCGACTCGCATTGTAGACCCCGCATTAAGCCTCCGCTACAATGATTCTCGGTTCTGTCTACAATGGTCGTAGTCGTAAGAATAATCGACTGCGATTGGTCAATTCCGTCAGACATATAAAAATTGACTAATCATAGTCGATTATTCTTACGATTACAACTCTGCGACTCGCATTGAGGATGTAGTAAGTCGTGTCGGAAGAAATTGACCAATCGCTGTTCATTATTTTCCTTACGGACACGATTTATTATATTCTATGTAGACCCAGCCTAAACCCCACAGTACTTTAAAGCGGGGAGCACACACTTTTGCATAAGTGCATAAACATATGCATAACGAATTTGATTGGTCCATTTCCTTATGCATTTGCTTATGGACCAATCAAATTCGTTATGCATATGCTTATGCACTTATGCAAAAGTGTGTGCTACCCGCTTTATAATCGATCTAAAGCCCGCTGCAGACGATGCTATTTTTCCTGCTGGATTGCTTGCAATTTAGTAAATTACTATCATTGCACCACTCAGCATTCAGGATTCCTAGTAATTTACTAAATTGCAAGCAATCCAGCAGGAAAAATAGCATCGTCTGCAGCGGGCTTAAATGTATACTGGCGTGCTCCTGGGTTTGTTCTTTTTAGTTAGACTGTAGCATTGGGTAACTCAGCTGTAAAGAACAGACCTATTGACGCGCGTGCGCGAGAATTGTCAGTGCTGAACGTGGAATGAGGAGTCCCCTCTCTGCCACTAGACGTCACTAACGCACGATAAGGGTATCTTCTTGATTACCTTGTACTCGCAAAATTTTTGTGCATTGCAATAAAGCATTATTATTATCGTCGGTGTCGAAACTTCAGGTTACATCGATACACTATGCGTGATAGTGGCGTGTGCAGTGATGAGGGAGCCGCCCCGTTCCACGTTCTGGCGGCACTGGCACTGTCCCTTGTAACAACATAGGGGAAAGGGGAGGGAAAATTTTAACGCGTAGGAAATATTCCACTTGCGACGGGCGCCATCTTTGAAGCCGTCCGAGAAGTCCCCGACGCCAGATGCCCTATTTAATGGCACCGCACGTTCTCTCTTAACAGCATTTTCAATAAGAACACTGTGATCGTAACGAGATGTGGTTTTTGAGTGTGTGAAAAGTGTGATTTCGCCGTGTGACAAGCGAGAGACCGACGTTGTGGAGACAAGCGACGGATCGTCTCGCAGGTGAGTACACGGTTCCTGTGCTGCGTGTCTCGCGCGCACGTACAGAAATTGCACGTCCGCGAAAACGGCCCCGGTCCCCTTGTCCGCGAGATACACGGCGCATCGCGCACGCATCGACGCGCGCTCATACGCGTACGCGCGTCGATGACGACGCGCCGCGCCGCGCCGCGCTAATAAATACGCGGCGGCGTCGGGCGCGGACAGTTGACAGTCTTGAGGGAAATCGGAAACTTATGTAAGATGCGCGCGGTGCTAGGAGCCGCGCCGTGGCGCATTTCCGCCGTCGCGATACGCCGCCGGTTACCATATTGCACACGGCTGACGTTCCGCGAGCGGTGCGCGTCGGCTTTCCAACGTGTCAGTCTCCCGGGGAGCGCGACGTCGGGGTCGGGAGACGGACACCCCGGATGCGGCGCGGGAAGGAGGCGAGGAGGAAAGAGAATCCTCGATCGGAACGAGAGCGCGACGGAACGTGTCGCGGGCGGGCATCGGCGGTTTAGGTTCCGTTATAGAAGCCCCGGCTTGTCTCTCGCGTTACGAATAAAATTATTTGTCGAATTCAGCCGCGTCTTTCTAGATCCTGAGGCTAAATATGTTATACATTCTCTATCTGCACCCATGTATTATATTTATCCCATTTATATGTTTTATTTGTACATATAGTTTAGCCCTTTGCGGGACATGCATAGATATACGTATGTAAAAGAGGCGGAGACGCCGCAGGGGGGTGGGGGGAGACGTAGCGATTTTGATGACGCGACTTCGTAAAGAGCCGGGGACCGTTTCACTTGGCGAGGAAGTACGCTCGTACACGATCGGCGTTTCTGCGTGAGCCCCGCAGGGCCGGGGCCGCCGTGGATGCGCGAGCGGCGGAGAAAGTCCCAGGGGCGCGCGTTACTCTCGGCGTACCACGGGCTCCGCGTCGTCGCGAGAGACGGAAGCCGAGATTCTCGGTTCTAATTTCGGGGGCGCGGATTAGGCGAATCTTTCGTAACGACAGGAGGTGCGAGGACGGTTGCGCGCGAAAACTTGACCGACCAGCGTTCGTCAGTTTCTTTAATTTGCGGGAAAGGGAGAGGGAGAGGGCGAGGAAGCGTCCGAGGATACCTCGTCTTTTTGTCCTTTAGTAAGCAGCTGCGTGTTCGACCTGCTGAGAATAAGGGAGGAACCGGCGTTCGCCTTTTAACCGGCGAAACGGACACGATAAATTTTCTGTAGCGGCAGAGAGAGAGAGAGAGAGAGAGAGAGAGAGAGAGAGAGAGAGAGAGAGAGAGAGAGAGAGAGAGAGAGAGAGGCCCGAAGGGCGGATCTAAAGAAATAATCATGTTACACTAGGGGGTCAACTCTGTATCTTACACTATAGTGAAAATGCTAAAAGTGAGTAGCTCTGTCTCTCTTTCTAACTGTCCCCTTAGAGATAAAATCGCTCACCTTTAGTATTTTCACTGTATTGTAAGATACAGAATTGATCCCGGGATATAAACTGAATTTCACGGCAAAGTAAGAAATCAAAGTGGAAAAAGTTACCAGAGAAAGTAAAAAATAGAAACAAATATGAAATTGCAGGAATGAAACTCGAGTGATAAACCAACCGAAACAGTCCAAAGTTGAAAGAACATAGGCTGACCTTACTCAAGTACCTAGAAGTCAAAAAAGATTACCAGAATCGGACTTTTCGACAAGTTTAAAATGATTGGTTAAAAACGACGAAATTCGAGATAGGTCTAATTTGGGTTTCCGACTCGGCGCCTTGTCCGAAAGAATTTTCCGCATCCGCCGCTGGCCTGCAGACGGCCTGAGCGCCATTTACTCCGTTTTTCTTATCGGGCGACGGGCGCAGAAGTCTCGTTCTCGTTTCTGTAATGTCGAAATCCGAGCCGACGAGATCGTATCGGTTTATTCGAACTCGATTCTTTCCTTTTCTCCTTTTTACTTCACGGTTCGCGGGATCGACGAACTTAGGATCTCACGACGCAAGTGATCGAAATTATTTTTTTTTCCCCCGCAATTTGCAGCAGCGGCGGCGACGACGACGAAGAAGGGCCGTCACGCCGGTTTTCGTCCCCGAGGGATTTCGCATTTCCCTCCGCCGCTCCGGCTCTCCTCGCAGCCCGTGTTTCGATTAATGCGCTGGGGCCGACGGTGTGCATACGTTCGATTATGTATACGAAGTAACCCAACGGATCTAGCGCGGAGCGTACCGCGCGCGTGTATGTGCACTACGTGGAATGGTCGGAGGGCGCTTGACGGAGCTAATCGATGTTAACTGGTCGAGGAATTGACCGTTCCTCTCGCTCTCGCGCGACGTGGAGAACCACGCGAGGCGGATAGATCGGACCGGAGCAGATAAACGGACTTGCGGGAGTCCGAGGACCGTACGAGAGAGTCGGGGAGAAAGAGAGGGAGAGAGAGAGAGAGAGAGAGAAAAAAAAAGATATTTATTCGATTACGGACGCCCGGGAGCGCGGCGGCGGCGGCGGCGGCGGCGGCGCGTTGCAAAAATAATTCGGTCTCTTCCTCTTTGCCGCGACTGTGGCGGACAGGCTAGGTCGAGCGCGTGGCGCGCATGCGCGCCCGAGAGAGGTTAGGTGACGCGGTCGCCGAACGCGTTCCACCACAACGAAGGGCGAGCCGTCGTCGGTCGCCCGGAGGTATAATGCCCAGGAGAAATGTTAAATTTATCTTATCTGCCGTCCGTTCATCGCCGGACTCACTCGCGGCACCGCGATTATCTCTGCGCGATTACTTCGGAAAAACCGACGAAACTTCCGACGACCCCACCGGACGCTATTTCGCATAGCGAGCGTCTCGCACTCGAGCTTTGGGCCCTTGGTATTTTTCGAGTTCGACCGTGTCAACGATCTCCATTTGAGGGGATGCTGGAGCGATTCTGCACTTTTGCACCTTTTGCACTTAAAACTGTCTGTTTCGAGGAAACATTTGTGTAATATACAAATTAAATGGCTCACGTGTACAGATCGAAAGTAGCTTGTTATTCTGGCTAAATTAAAGAACAATGCATCACTGAAACTAAGCTTGTAAGTCTAATAAAAAAAAAAGTGAGCAATACACACATACTACATGTACTGTATGTGTGTTGCTCACTATTATTT